CTGCACCCCCCCCGGGTGGGCCACCCTCCCCCTCCTCAGCAGCCAGCCATGGGGGAGGGGAGGCCGGTGCCTGAGCCCAGATGTGGCCCAGTCAGCAGGCCGGTGGTGGCCCGCTGAGGAGGGTCAATGCCACAACAGTTCTGGGGCTGGGGGAGGGGGCGCCTGGGCCGGCGGGCGCCTCACAATGAGGTTTTGTCCCTCCGGGGGCCGCTGTCCGAGTTGTTGCTCTTAGATATATAGATGGGATTTTACTGGAGGCCCCAGCTGTGTGTGCTGACTGGCGCCCCCCCGCAGGGGCCGGGCTGACGGGAGGCAGAGGGCCACACTGAGACGCCCATTCTTTTCCAGCTGATACACCCCAGAGGTTTTTCTCCCTCCGCAGCCTCCCTTAAGACAATTGTTATTCTCTGCTCTGCCCCCTCCCCCACCGGGTCAGGCCTGCCCGAGGACAAAGCAGACACCGGCCCACGCCGTGTGATTTTTAAAAATAAATTTGTTTTAGGAGTTGTCAGGGACTGGCTGGAAAGCCAGCTTACTTTATAACCCTCCCTCACCCACAGGTCTTTCCATCATATCCCACGTGGTGCCCAAATGTCCACCTCCTGAAGGCTGTCCCGGTGGGGGGATATGTGTATCTTGTCCCCAACACCCCAACTCCTCAGGCTGGATGAAGTCTCTGGGGAGGCCTTGAAGTTGGACGTGGTGGGACGGAGGCTCCTGTTAATCCCATGGGAGCTGACCCAGCTAAGGGGGTTCTGGGCCTGCCATCTCCCCCGACTCCACTAGGCCACGGAGCAAAGGAGCAACCGTCCCTGGGGGTTTTCATCTCTTGGCTGGGGGAGAGGGGTGGCTGAAATGTCCCACACTCCAGGGCTTAGCCCAGAGTTGAGGCTGCCACCTTCCAACTCCATCAGGAAACTGGGGCCCGAGCCTGGCTGGGGCAGAGGCTGGGCCTGGGTGGTGGCTGGGGCTGGTGGTCCCCATAACCAGGACCTTGAGGGCCCCATCCATGGAGAGGAGTCGCCAACTGCACCCTCTCCCCAGCCAAGCCACAGGAGTGAGGGACCAAGACTTCAGCCCTGGCCCAGCAGATGTGGCTGTCCCCTGTGGCCGGCTAAGCCATTCTCCAAGGCCTGCCCTCTGGTCCTTGGAGGCCTCGTCTGTAAATCAGCCCGTTATTCCTGCCTCACTGTGTGGGGAAAGTGCCAGGGAAGTCATCGATAAATGGTGCTTCCTAGGATGGCAGGCCAGTGCCCAGCGCCCAGCGCCCAGCGCCAGCCTTTGAGTGACAGAAGGGCCAGGAGGAGGCAGCACTGGGGAAAGGGAGGCAGGGATGGGAGGGTTAATGAGTAACGGGCTGGAGGCCAGCCCAGGAGAGGGTGTGGCTCAGTCTACCAGCCGGGCTGCCAGGCCTCCCTACCGCAGGACTCCTGGCCTCCCAGGGGCCCACACGGCCCTGGCATTGGCCCATTTTGTGGAGGAAGAGAAGGCGGCCCAAGGGGTGGTGAGGGTAAACCCAGCGAGTCAGTGAGGCGCGGACACAGCTTCCCTGGACTGGGGTGAGAGAGCACACCCCTGGTCTGGGGCCTGCAGGGTAACCTCTTTCCCACCTCCCTCTCCAGCCCTTCCCAGAATTGCCCCTCGTGAGAGCCCCCCCGATTCCACTCTCCAGCTGTGTGACCTTGGGCAAGTCACAGAACCTCTCTGGCCCTCAGTTTCTTCTGCTTCTGCTCCACTAAGTGGGTAGGATAATTTGCAAACTCAATGAGACTATAGGGTGGGAAGAACTTCTGAAAACCATTAGGTGAGAGTGGAAGCCAGAGTCCTAGATCTGGTCCCCTCTGCCGGAGTGACCTTGAGTGGGTCTTCGCCCCTATCCAGCCTCAGTTTCCTCTTCTGTTCAAAGAGGCTGTGGGTGAAGACAGGTGCTATTCTATCACCCTCCCCGACCCCTCACCAGGTAGGGTCCCTCTGGAGCGGGGGTGGGAGGGTGGGAAGCACGGGGAAGCGGAAGATCAAGGTCAGGCCAAAGCTTGGCTGGGTCAGTGCCTGGGCCAGACTCTTCGGTCTCGACGGGACTGGCTGGAGGAACAGCGCCACCTGCTGTGTGGTGGGGGCATGCCCGCGCATGTGGCTGGCAGGAGGCCCAGCTGCCTGCCCACCGCAGCCCCACAGCTGCTCCCCAGGCCTCACTGTCCTGGAGCCATGCTGGGCTGGGTCCTCGGGGTGCCCTGGGTCTGGCCAGGTATTCTGCACCCTCCTCGGGAAGCCCTCAGCAAAGACTTACAGTGGCCCCTGATTTCAGTGCTCCCCACACAGGGTTTACCAGAGTCCTTCCCCCACCTTCCCCCCAGCTCGCAGCACTGGGGGGAGGGACGGGCACTGTCAAACCAGCCTGGTACCCCATTGCTGGCTCTGTGGTCTTGGGCAGCTTACTCACCCTCTCTGAGCCCCAGACCTCTCAGGGAAGAGAAAGGAGTAACAAGCCCCATCTTTCAGGGCCCTAATGAGGTCACAAACACGGATGCCTGGCACATCCCACACAGGCAGGGCTCAACAGGGGGCTGGCCCCATTCAAATGGGGCTTTGAGGGTCTTCCAGTCCCTCACTGAAACTCATAGTGTGGCCCTGGACCAGGGCATCAACAGCAGCGAGAGCCAGTCTCAGAGGTCCCCTCCGGCCACTCTGCCACTGACCTCAGCAGCAAGCCCCTCCTACGCCCCCGCCGCCACCTGCTGGAAGAGAGGTCACTCAGGACAGCCAGCATGCTTCTACATCCAGTTTATACACAGCTCTATACAATATACAGAAACCTTTATATACAGATATATTTATAGAATAAGCTATATTAATTTGTCTCTCCTTTTTACAGCAATATTAGTTTGGATCTTTCATACATTAAGTACAAAAAAAGTCATGGGAGAACAGCACGTCGAGTGCACGAGTGTCTGTGGGGTCGCCGATTGCATATGGAGGTCCCCTGGGAGGAGGGGCCAGCTCACGGCTGGGAGAGCTTGTGCTGCGGGTCTAGGGGACAGAGTGGAGGTCGGTCTGAGCCGAGCCGGGCTGAGGGGGGTGGCTCAGACCCCCCAAGTGTGGTGTGGGGAGGAGGGGAGAGATCCAGAGCAGGCCTACCCTTCAGGGGCGAGGTGGGGAGGGAGCAGGTAGCGGGGCTGCCCCAGGGGCATCCAGGGCTGAGTCCGAGCCTGCCCCAGCCCCAAGCCTGTAACCCCGGTATGGCTGCAGCCTTGGGGGTGGGGAGTCTGTCCCTGATGGCTCAGTCCTGGGCAGGGGTGGGCACCGTGCCCTCTTAGAGGTCCCAGGGCCCACCATGGCAGAAGAGGAATTAAAAGGTGCTTCTTTGAACTTGACTCTGATTTATGATTTGTCTTTTTTTTTTAACTCTAAGAGCCACTGATTGTGTCTTGCCTCTATGCTGGGCCCTGGCTAGGCCAGCAGCAGGGCTCTCAGCAGGGGCAGGGTCCTGAAGCCTGGGGAGGGTGAGAGTCAGACAGAGTGAGGGAGGCCCAGCTCCCAGCTCTCTGTCCCCATCTGTCAGGGAGCGAAGGGGTCCCAGGGCAGGATCCGGGCCAGTCCCAGCTGTGTGTGTGGGGGGGTCAGGACGCAGGGCCCAGATCCCAGTGGTCATGAGACGGGGGGGTCTTGGTCAGGGGAGCCTGGCCGACCCGGGGAGGCGATGGGTGGGGCCAGAGTGGGGGGCGCACGCCTCCAAGGGGACGAAGGCACAAGCGGGTGGTCTACGCCTCGGCACATTCAGGTTTTCCAAACCGGGGGTCAGAGCAGCAGGCAAGATAAGGGGAACGGGCGATGTCCGACACTGAGCTCGTCCGTGTCCCTGCGCAGGCCCCCATCGTGTTTCCTTGGCAGGCTGAGAGGGGTGGCAGGCAGGCAGAACGGGCAGGGTCGGGCGGGCACCCCAGTAGCCCCTCCTCAGGAAGGGCGCACGCTCATGCACATGCACACACACGCCCCACGCGAGCATGCACACCTTCCCCACTTGGCCTCTGGGGAAGGCCATGTCGCCCCCTCCCCACTGCTTCCCCAACCCCACAGGGAAGGGACCCCTCACATGGTGGCTGTGGAGGCTTCAGGCTAAACCAGGACAGCCCCAGAGCCTGTGGCCCTCCTGCCCCCTCCAGCACCCCCTCCCGGGGACAGTGGGCAGAGGGTCTTTAGCCAGGTCCCACAATACTCCACTCTTAGCCCTACTTCCTGCCAAAAGGACATTGGGGGTGGGAGGGAGAAAGCCCTGCTCCCAGGAGAGAGCCAGCGAGGAGGGGGAGCTGAGGGAAGTTGGGGGGGGGGGGTTGGTTTCAGATCCCAGGGCCTGGGCTGCCTGGGCATGGGGGGTAGGTGATATAAAGTGGTTACATGGGGCCCTCAAGGGAAGGGGGATTTTGGTGCCCTCCTTCCTCCCAGGGCCCTGACTCTGCAGCCAAGGGTGGTCACACTTGTGCCCTCCACCCTTTGAGTGGTCAGGATCCCTGGGGGTAGAAGGCAAGCCAGGGGCAGGGGGGGCAGGCCTGAGTGCCCAGGACCCCGTGACAGAGGGACCAGCATGAGGGGCACCGAGCAGAGAAGGCCCTGGAGGCCCCTCGGCAGCCTTGGGCCTTGTGGAGGCTGTCCCCTGCCCTGCTCAGAGAGGGGCTACTGAACACATGATTGGGGGGCTTGCAAGCCCAGGAAACACCCTGAGCCCAGCCCAGCAGCTTCTGTAAACATACACAGCACTGCGGGCCACCTTCATTGGGGGTCATCCCCGGGGGGCTGGCCAGCAGGCACCAGATCTAGGGGTGGCCAGGGCAGATGCCAGCCTGACCACAGATGAGAATATTTGGGGAGGGCACTGCTCTCCACCTTGGCCCTGGGAGAGAGCCAGAGAGCAGTGATGGGGAGTCAGCACACCCATTGCCCATCCTGGAATAGGGGGTGCCAGGATGCCCCTGTGGGGGGCAGTCAGGCTGAGAGAGTGAGTGTTGCCCTGCCCACCTGGCAGGCCACCCCAGGCTCCTCCCTGCTCCACACCCCTCCCCTATCTGGAGGGCCCAGATCCCAGCCGCCTTGGCTTTGGGGGTCCTGAGCTGAGGTAGGGATGCGGACCCCCAGCTCAGCAGCAGCCCCATGCATGAGGCTAAACTGGCCCCTGGGGGCCTCTCCTCAAAGCTGCCCGGCCCTGGGGGCAGCCACCAGGAGCCCGAGGGGCTACCTGCTCTGCCCCGGGCCTCAGGCGACAGCTGCTCCTGGGGTGCTAGCGAGCCGAGATGATCATGTCATCCTGCTTGGCGGGGCTGGCCCCCCGGCCGGTGGGGGTAGAAGTCCGGATCTTGTCCACGGCCAGGCACTCCTGGCTGCTGAGGCCCGTGGGCGTCAGGTCCATGAGCTCGCCCGAGGAGCTGAGCGGGAAGGAGGGCGAGAGGGAAATGCCCGAGGAGGGGTCGGCTGAGCCGGCAAAGAGCCTCGGGGGCTTGGGCACCAGGTTGGGCTCGAACTGGGCGCGGAGCAGGATCTCCTGTTGGCTGGGGGACTTGGGGCCCTCGGCATAGTCGCTGGTGGGGCTCTCGGGCACCACCATGCAGTAGAGATCCTGGAAGGAGCTGCTCTTGCTGTCCAGGTTGAAGAGGCTGTCGATGAACTCGGCGAACTCCAGCACCTGCGGGCTGGGCGAGTCCCCCAGGCGCCCGTTGTGCAGCGCCAGTTCTCCGCGGGGGGCCGCCCCCCCACCCGCCTCTTCCTCCTCCTCATTGGCGGCAGCGCTGGGGGGCCGCTCGGGGGTGGCACCCCCGCTGCCCGGGGCCGCCTCCAGGGGCTGGGTGTCCTGCGAGTGCTTGGACAGGCTGTCGGCCGCCAGCAGCTCAGTACGCGAGCTCAGGGAGGGGTTCTCCTCGGGGATGGCGGGGTCGATGTAGAAGAGGTGGCCCTCGTCGCGCTCCAGCACGGCGTGCAGGCTGGGCGAGCCCCGGATGCTCCGGAAGCCGGAGGAGCGGCGCGAGTCAAAGCTGTACAGCGACTCGGTGTCCGAGAGGCTCTCCATGGTGGCCAGCGGCGCCCGCCGGGCCTGCAGCTCCGCCGCCAGCCGCTCCTGGGTGGACAGCAGCAGCAGCTCCACGGGGTCCTGGCGGGCTGCCGAGGCCACTGGGGACAGCAGCCGCCCCTCCGAGAAGCCCTCCAGGCTCATCTCAGACTGGGACTTGCTCCTGCAGAGGCAGGGCAGGGAGGGTGTGAGACCCGGGAGGGGCGGAGACCGACCTCGCTCCCTGGCTGGAGGGAACTTGGGGACAGGGACAGGGGGAGTGAAGTTGGCGGTTGTTCAGTGGTTTGGGGCATGGAACTCTGATTTCTAAAAAACAACTCACAACAACCCAAGACAGAAGATAAAAGGGTTGAGGCTGAGTTGAGCCAGGGTGGGGGCCCTGAGGGTCTACAGCATCAGGGCTCCGGGAGCGCTGCTGGGGGACCCTGTACAGGCGCCCTGTCACTGTACTGACGGGGGACTGAGGCCCAGAGAGACTGGCCACCCAGGTCACTCATGAGGCAATGTGGAATGGGAGGGAGGCGGGGAGACGGAGGAAAAGGGGGGAGCGGGAGGGAAGGGGGTGGAAGACTGTCCAGAGTGGCCCCCCACTGGTTCTACTCCCACCCTCAGGGCCAACACCCCTCTGTGCCCCTCCCAGAGCTCCCATCTCCCTCCCTCACACTGGGGGCCCTCCCGCCTTTCCCGTTGGTTGGAGCCCTCTGCTGAACAGGGAGCACTGGAGAGCCTGCAGGGTATGGGGGACACAGCTGTTACTGCGGCAGCGAAGGGACTCTTGCGCCCTCTTCTGGTCACCCAGCTGCCAGAAAAAATGCACAAACGGAGGGAGAGATGTCCAGGTGCCCCCACTAAGGGCCGGGAGGCAGCGACTACCCTTCTCAGCAGCCTCCTGGCCAGATCTGTGACCTGGCTCAGGACCTAGGCGGGAAGGGTCCCAGAAAGGCAGGAGGATCCCACCATCAAGGCAGAGGAGCCACCCCTCCAGAGCCTGATCCCCCAAAGAGTGTGTGTGAATGTGGGGGGGTGGGGTCTGGGAGCCTGTGTCCACATCTCCATGTGTGTGTACAGTGTGCGTACTATGTGTCTACAGTGGCTCCCGTGTTCGTGTGGGTGGGGCTGACACAGGTACATTCGTGCATTTACACGCATGGCTGCCCATCCATGCACGTCCTTGTGTACATGTGTCTTGGTCTCTGTCTTGGCGTGTGTCCTGTACATGTGGATGTCTGTATGGGACTACCTGTGCACTTAGAGCTACTACTTGTGAGCGTATGTATATGCAAATGTGAGTGCCAATACAAATACATGCGTGTGTGTGTGTGAGTGCACGGGTACCTAAGTCCATCTGTGTGGATGCACATAGGTATGAGTGAATCTGTGTGTTTGTGGCCAGGGGGCCGTGTGTCCCTAGATGCCCGCTACCCACGTGGGCTTCAGTGACGGCAGGCTGGGAGCCACGGAAGCAGAGAGAGAGCGCGAGCAAAGGAAGCAAGTTCGACTCCTCCCATGCACGTGTGCAGAGCTGCGTGAACATACATGGGCCCAGTACACGCCTGGAACACATATGTGCACAAGCAGATGTGCTCTGAAACCACCCCGGTGGGCCCGGCATGCACTGTCTGGGCCGGGGCCGGGGTGGGCGGGACTCACCTGACGCTGCTGTTTCGGTGGTCTGCGGCGGTGGGCAGCTCCACGGCGAGGCCAGCAGGCACGGGGGGCCCCGTGGGCAGCGGCTGCTGCTGGAAGATGAGCTCGGGCGTCAGGTCCACCTCGGTGGGGCTCACCATGACCTTGGCAGCAGAGAGCAGGGCCGTCTTCCCCTTGTTGTAGTTCTCCAGCACCTGGGGACAGGACGGGGAAGCTGGTGATGGTGGAGGGGTGACAATCATGTGTGGGGGCAGGGCGGCAGACCAGGCCTCTCAGGCCAAATAGAGCCTCCTGGGGTCAGCCGGGCCCCACTCTCCTCTTCCCTCGGGTCCCTGCTCCTCCAGGGAGGCCTGAGGTTGGCCCTGCAATTGTGCCTCACCCCACAGGGGGGCAGTGTTGGAGTTTTCCTTGCCTGTGGTCAGCCTTTCTGTGGCCAGGCGATGGCCAAGGATGCCCTTGCTTGCGCATCTGTCAAGTGCTAGGTGGCCTTCAGGGCCTCTGAACTCAGCCTGCCTCGGGGACAGGTCCCTGGGAGTCTCCAGAACTCCTCCCCACCACGAGGCCACATGGCAATGTGGACAGAGCAGGGGTGAGGAGGCCACGACATGAGTGGGCTTTCCAGCCCCACCGCAGCCCAGCTGGGGCCTCTGGCTGACCTCTCTGAGCGTCCACATCCTCAGCTGTAACATGGGGATGGAGATTCGGCACGCAAGGCACCACAGGGCTCGGAGGCAGTGTCCCCGCCCAGGCTGCCAGGGGCTCACCTTGTTGAGCCCCTCCATGACCACGTAGGGGAGGTGCTCGTGCAGCATGGCCGGCGAGATGATCACCTCGTTGAAGGCCTTGTTGTCGCCCCAGATGGCAAAGTAGGTGGGCTCCTCCTGCTCACAGCAGCTGAGGGGCACAGGTGCCAGATGGAAACTGAGGGCTGGGGGCAACCCGGCCCCACCCCCTGGCCCCCGGCTCTGCTCTTTGTCCTTGCTTAGCAGGGGTGGGGTAGACGTGGAGCCCCCGGCCCCGTCTGGCCAGCAGGGCTATGGCCCTGGGCTCCTTGTTCCTGCCTCGCCCTCCACCCAGCCAGAACGTTCATGCCAAACAGAGGCCGGGAAAGGCTGACCCTGAGCCTCAGCCACGGTCCCCACATAGCCTTCCACTTGCTCTGCCCCAGGCAGGCCCTTTTGTCAGGGCAGGCAGCCCACATGCACGGGAAGGTCCAGGGCCCGACCCTCTGCAGGAGCGGGAAGTAGGGGAAGTCTGTGTGCTCGCCCGCTCCTTCTCTCTCCCTCCTGTCCCGTCCCCATCCTCGCTCCCAGCTGTCTGCCATCTAATCCCCACGGTGATGCCAAGTGACAACCAGGGTGCGAGCTGGCGGGGCCTGAGGGTGACCCCTCGGGGGCATCCACAAGCAGGGAGAGGTGCCCTGGGGGAACACAGGGAAGGGCTGACACTGGGGACAAGGGCTGGGACTGTGAAGCAAGGAGCCTGGGGTCTCGCTCTGGACTGGCCTTTTGTTCCAGGATTGGGGCAATCCCTCTGTGGGGGCCCTGGGCCATGGTTTCCTGGCCTCTGCCCCCAGCCCCGAGGGGTGACTGAGCGAAGGCCGGCCCCCGCCCCACTCCCCTGGAGGACGCAGCCCCTGCCCTGGCCACTGCCGCCCCTGCAGCTGCACCCACCAGCACTGCTCCGCGGGGTGGTTGTGCACCACGTGGATGATGCGGCCGGGCGGGTAGAGCGGCGTGCTGGCCGACAGGGCGATGGTCAGGTCGCTGGGGTGCGTCCAGAGCCGCGTGCTCGCCAAGGTGGTCACCTCCACCTCCTCGGGCAGCTCCGACTTGGGGATGCATTTGGTGGCCCCCACGATGATTCGCCACTGTGCGGGCAGGGGGAGATGGGGACGGAGCTGAGCAGTGCTGGCAGGGTGGGCAGGGGCTGAAGGGTGCTCAGAAGGAGGGCTCACAGGTGAGTGGTGGGAGCTGGGATGGCCATGGGGCAGAGGGGAGGGCAGTGCCCACCTGAAGGGGCAGTGGCTGAGATGTACGGGAGCCAGGATGGCCAAAAAGACGCCAAGTACAGATGCCATGGGATCGTTGAATTCCAGAGCTGGAAAGGGGCTGGCAGACCAGCCAACCCCTTATCCAGAGGATTGGGAAACAGGCCCAGTAGGGGAAGGCACTTGCTCTAGGTCATTTCACAAGTCAGAGGCAGAAAAGGCCCCGAAGTTCAGTCCAGCTGCACCTGCCAGGCCTGGTGCGTCTGGGTTGATCCCCAGCCACCTGCCTCCTGGGCCTGACAAGTACCCAGGACGGGTCTGATGGGAGCAGTTCTACATCCTGGAACCAGGCTCTTCCCGACAGATATGGTCCCCCCACTAAGGCTTCGCTGCCCTGTCCGCCCCTGGCACCTGGTCAAGGGCCCTGCTTGCCAGAGGGTCACGGGCACCAAGGCTGAGAATAGTCCAAACCGGGCCGAGACGGTGAACAGGGTGAGGGCCAGCCTGGGGGGGCACAGAGCACCCGCTGGTCCAGGTCAGGCCCTCCTGCCTGCCTCAGGGCGCCTGGCCACAGCATCCCCACCCCCTGGCCCGGCATGCTGAAGGCCAGCTTGCCACAGGAAGAGCCACGCAGTGTCCTGGGAAGACCCGACAAGGGATGAGGAAGGGCTGATCCTCTCCTCTTGGCCACAGGGTAAATTCAACCAGCTGCACCCAGATCCACTCCACAGGTGATTCTAGCCTCCTTGAGCTGGGGAATCGCAGCAGCCTTTGCAAGAGGCCTTCCCACCACACACTGGAAGCGCTGAGCCTTGGGGACAGCTTTGTCCTGACTTTAGGCAGCTGTGTGACAGGAGCCAGGACTCAGGAGCCCTCAGGACCAGTCCTGACTCAGTTACAACTTGCTGTTTGAGCAAAAGCAAATCCTTGCCCACTCTGGGCCTCGGTTTCCCCGTCTGTACAAGGACAGGCAGGGGTAGACGGGGTAAGCTCAGAGATGCTGAGGGTCTGACGGCCTGAGGTTCCCACGACAACAACCACACCCCAGCCTGGCCTTGCGCGGCGCGGGCCTCTTGTGCTTTGCGCCCAGGGACAGGCAGGGCACGAGAGGGACAGGTGCCTAGGCCGGAGGGCGGGGCAGGGCTCACTTTGGGCTTGGTGCTCCGCTGCAGGACATCCAGGAGCTGTCTGCGGAAGCCTTCCAGCTGGGAGAGGCCGATCCTGGGGGAGGGAGCGAGACAGGGCGTCAGCCGGGCTGGCCGGGGACCCGGAGAGGTGCGGGCTGAGGGGCAGCTGGGCAGGCCCATGCCCGGCCCCCAGGAACAAGAAGACCAGGCCGGCAGAGTCACAGGGTGGGCAGAGGGGAGCCTGCAGCCCAGCAGGGCCCAGCCAGGGACAGGAACGCCAGGCAGGCCAGGTCCCCTTTGTCCTCTCACCCTGAGCACCTGAGGACTGGGAGGGGCCTCTGGGGTCCCTCAAGGAGATGGGTGACTGAATGAGAGAGACGTGGTGCTCGGGTGAGGCCCTGAGGAGGCAGGAACAGCCCAGGCCAGGACAGTGGAGGGAGGGAGCCACTCGCCTGGGGACGAGGTCTTTGCCCAGAACCACGGCGGTCACAAATTCCTTGGAGTATTCCATGGCATCCTCACTGCAAAGGAAGCCAAGGGGACGCTGAGGCCGGAAGGGGCCCTGCCCCAGCACTCCTGGGCTTAGTTTCCTGGTGGGCTGCCTGCTCCCGGCCCCACAATCCCTGCCGGTAGGGCTTTGCCGGGGGTAGACGGTGGGGTCCACCTGGCATATGACAGAGCACCCCCCTCCACTTACCAGGCCATTCCCAGGACTCCAGGTGACCGCAGTCCAGCCCCCGCCAGCCCCAGCCCTGTCCAGCCCCCAGCCCCAGCCAACTCTGAGGCCCCGGGCAGCTCACCTCAGCAGGCCCCCTGGTGGGGAGTAGGCGAAGCACTTGAGGGTCGGGTACTGGGGGCGCAGGAGAAAGGAGAGGATGGCAGCGGTGCCTGCCCCCAGGGAGTGGCCCACCACAATCAGGCCGTAGTGTTTGGTTCCACGGCCCTGGGGACCAAGACAAGCCTGAGCGCCCTGCCCCGCTGCCTGCCAAACTGACTGTCTTAGCTGACACCAGGGGCCAGAGGGGTCTTCCCGGAGTCCTGGGATCATGTCTATGCTGTGCAGTTGCTGGGGCAGAGGAAAAGCCAAGCTAGGCCCCCACAGAGCAACTTCTTGGGGAGACTATTCTAACAAACTCCTACTTATCCTTCAAAACCTTGCTCAGAGGTTACCTCCTTGCAGAAGCCCTCCCTGGTTTTCCAGGAGAGGCTCTCTCTCTCAACACTGCATCTGTACCTGGGATGGATCTTGATATACAGTGATCACACTCTGTGATAATCATTTGGTCTCCTGCCCCCATCCCTGTGCCCTGACAACTAGAGTGGGGTCCCCTGAGGCCAGGGACTACTTGGCTTTGGGAAGGGCAGTTGGCAGCACCTCAGGAGATTGCCCCCAACCAGAGTAGCACCCCTTCTATCTGCTCTGTAATTATTTTTTTTTCTGCTCTATATTCTGGAAGCCCCCATCCAGAACCATCTTTGTGTCTCTGGTGCCTGGCACGGAGCAGGTGCGCATAACTGGGTGGGGCCCAGCAGGGGGGCCGAGGAGAAACTGATAGAAAAAAGGAAGGGGTCAGAGGAGGTGGGAGGGACCGAGCAGGGGGCTGGGAGCCAGGGATCAAAGGAGTGTAGGAGCCTGGCCTGCGGGGAGGCTCCATCGTTCTCCCATCCTGTCCCCCACCTGCTGCCCTGGGGGAGGGAGAGCCGGGGGCATGCGGAGGGCTCAGTGGCACGGAAAACTCCTCACCAGGTCTCGCCCGAAGGCCTGGGACAGAACCATCTCCTGCTCCAGCTTCTTCTTGATGTACTCAGCCGACAGGACCATCCCCTGGGTAAGGAGGAACAGAGGTGGGTGTCTGAGGAAGGGAGGCCTCTCAGGGACCAGCAAAACCACAGTGACCAGCAGCTCACTGACTATTTCCCCCTCTGGTCTGCCTAACCACCTGACTGTGGGGCTGGTGACGTTTTATCACATCGTTTCCATTTCACAGATGAGGAAACTGAGGCTCAGAGGGTTGTGTGTCTAACTAACCAGTGTGACGTCCCCCCAGCTGCCTCCTCAGGCTCTTCTGGGACAGGATCCAGGCCCAGCAGGGCTGTGGGGGCCCCAGAGAGTGGGCCGCAGTGGACCTTCCAGAAGAATCCACACCTCTCTGACCAATCTCTCCCGGTGAGCCCAGTGAGCAGGGAGGAGCCCCCACCCCAACCACAGGACAGGTCTGTGTGCCGGCAGGGAGGAGAGAAGGCAGGGGCGTTGGGGGCCCACGAGGAGGGGTACCTTGTGTCCCAGCCAGGTGCCGTGGTGTCCCTCCACGGGGAGACGCTCGGCGTCACCAGTCAGGTCTGTCAGGGCGTCCTTGTGGGGAGAGAGGACAGGGGAGGGACAAGGCTGAGAAGAACAGAAGGAGGAAGGGGGGCACCCCTCGGGGGCTGTGAGGGGGTCCACGGGGTGGGCTGGGAGCCACGGGCAGGGTACCTTGGGGGACAGAGTTCCCCGGATGCTGATCACCACCTTCTTCTTGTCATGGTCCACTGCCACATAGAAAGGGGTTTCGTAGACCTAGGAGGAGGCGGCTCGTGAGGCTGAGCAGCCCTGGGAGGGGCCAGACTCGGGGAAGTGACCTAAGCAGGTCTCTGTCCTGGTCAGGAGATCTGACTCCATGGGCCACTGGGCCCCTGCAAGGCTGCGGGGCTCCCAGCGGTCACGGTAGATCCCTCTGACCAGCACGTAGCCTACCTGGCCCTCCCGGCATCGCTGACTCGGGCAGCCCTGGGTCTGCCGTCCCGCCTGCCGAGTCCAGAGGGCCTGCCCCCTCCCCCATGCTTCACTGCTTCTTCCCATTTCCTCCCCCCAAAAGGCTGGGGCTGGGAAGCCCCAACACTGGGTGCAGGGCTGGGGTTCAATTTTTGCCCCAGAGGGGATACAGCCCAGGGTGTGGGGAGAAGGAGGGCCGCCCCCACCATCTGCCCAGCTTGAGGAAGCCTGCAAGCTGCACCCCAGCCCTCAGCTGCCTGCTCCTGACCCCGGCCCCCAGCCCCGCCTGCCCCCGCAGCCCACAGAGAACAAAGGCCCACCCGGCCCCTCACCGCATCATGGCAGGAGGTGTAGACGATGTCCACCGCGGTCATGTTCTCGTCCAGGAAGTGGCGCCGGATGGCGATGGCGTTGCAGCCACAGCAGTTGTCCTCCTCAATGGTCACTCCGGGGGCAAACCGGGGCCGCGCAGGGCACAGGCAACACCTGGGGTGGGGAGCAGAGGGCTCAGGGCCAGGGACCCCTCAGAGAGCAACATCCGCCTTGAATCCTCTCTGGAACCTGCTCTTGCAGCACTACCCCACCCCCCCACCCCCGCCCCCATCTCCAAACCTCCCTCATGAAGTTCCACCGGCTAGTTCTCAGCCCTCTCCTGACTTGGCCTCTTGGCAGCATGTGACCCGGTGGGCCTCTCCCTGCCCCTTAGAACGCTATCCCCACTCTCGGGAGGCAACTCTCTCCTGGGTGGCTCCTCCCTCACTGGGGAGGGCCCAGAGGGCAGCCCTGGACCTCCTCTTCCCTCCAGCTACACTCGCTCCTGCGGGCCTCACCCAGGCACAGGCTTTAAATACCACCCGTGTGCTGATGAGCCCTCCCAGACCTGCTATTGGCCTCCAGATGCTTCCACCCAACCACCCCCTTGTCTCCTCTCAGACGTCCCACAGGATCGCAACCTCTCCAGGTCCCAGTCCCCGATGGCCCGCCCCTCGTGCTCCCCTCAGTCTTCCACACCCCCGCTCATTGCTCAGCCCCACACCGGGAGCCATCTTCAGGTCCTCGTCCCACCTCACATCCCACGTCCAGTCGATCAGCACATCCACTCGTTCTGCCTTCAAATTCAGAACCTGACTCCAACTGCTTCCCTTGCCTCCACCCCCCGACCCCGCTCCCAGCCGCCATCATCTCCGCCTTGCGTTGTCGCAGTGGCCTCCTGATGATCTCCCTCGTCTACGTGCCTCCTACATTCTCAAGCTGGCAGTCAGGGTGAGCCTTTAGGATGTAAGTCAAGCCACGCCGCTTCACTCAAAACCCTACAACGCTGCCCTCCTGCCCAGTGTAAAAGCCGGAGTCCTCACAGGGCCTGAGGGCCCTGCCCCATCCGGCCCTGCTTCTCTGGCTGGCTGCCTCCAACCCCTCTCTGGCCACACTGGCCGTCTTTCCTTCCCTCAGATGCATCGGCCATATTTCTGCCTTGGCGTCTTTGCACACATGGTTCCCTCTGCCCAAAATGCTCTTCTCTCAGACACTGCACGGCGGGACTCCTCGCTTCCTTCAGGCCTCTGCTCAGATGTTATGTTATGGTGAGGGCCACCCTGGCCACCTCATCTAACAGAGCCAGCCCCCCGCACAGCGTTCCCCGGCCCGACGATGCACCCGGCTTTATTTTTCTCCGAAGCACCCTCTGCGCTGACGGGCCATGTTCCCTGGTCTGTCTCCCCACTGGGCAGTGTGATCCACAGGACAGGGTTTGCTCTGGTTGGTTCACAGCTCTGTCCTCAGCACCAAAACAGTACCAGGTACACAACTGGCTCTCCCAAATGAATGGATGAGCGTCTGAGCAGGCACCCAGATAGGAGTGCAGCTGCTCCTCCAGCCACCAGAGGGAGCAAGCACCCAACAGATGGGGCCCTGCAGCGCCGAAAACACGTGACCCACGTCTGCCAGCAGTCTTGAGATGACAACTGAGATTTTTATCAAGAACCGTGAATTTCAACGAAAGGTCTGTCTTCACTTGAGCGGCACCTGAGGGACTGTTACATACTTTCCAACAGGGAGAGGCGTTGATGAGAAAACCCAGGGTCAGGGCAAGTCTGGGAAGCCACCGGGCCTGGGGTGGGCAACCACCTCAATGCACGCTAGGAGGGCTCCCCCTAACACTGCCTGGCCAAGTGGGGGCGCGCCTTGGGCTGGGGGCTGGGCTGTTCTCAGGCAGCTGTCTGCTCTTCGTAACCTCAGCCCTGTCCTCTGGCACTGAGCATGTGGCCGCCACAGTGTGGCCTTTGGAGACAGAGACCCGGGCTTGAATCCTTGCTCTGATGTGACCCTTCCTGACTGCGAGGGCCTGGGGGGCACTAAGCTGTCCGAAGCCTCAGTTTCTTCCTCTGTAAGAGCAGCTGCTGACAGCTACTTCACAAGGCTAGTGTGAGACCAAAGGCCCAAGATGCAGAAAGCCTAGCGTACCACAGGCACTCCATAAATGGCGGCTCCCCCTCTCTCCAGCGAGAGCGCTGCTCCTGAGTCAGTGGTCTGAGGCCAGGGGAGCCGATGAGAGCAGCAGGGCCAGCCATCTGGATGGGAGGGGCCTGCGGCATCTCCGAGGACAGCACTCCTACAGAGAGGAGGCCACGGGAGCCTGAGCCCCGGCCTGGTCTACGGCGGGGCCTCTCCCGCCCACGGGAGACTGAGAACACACCTGGTCTACGGCGGGGCCTCTCCTGCCCACGGGAGACTGAGAACACATCTGGTCTACGGTGGGGCATCTCCTGCCCACGGGAGACTGAGAACACACCTGGTCTATGGCGGGGCCTCCCCCACCCACAGGAGACTGAGCACACGCCTGGGGCAGGGCTGGAGCCGAGTGGGGTCTCCCAATGGTGGCAGGGCCATAGGCAGGCCTGGCTTGCATGCTCTGCTTGGGACGGGAGAACCACTGCCAGGGGAAAGGCATAGGCCTGAGGCGGGTGGGCAGCTCTCCTTTCTCCCGCCAGTGCTGGCACCCTGGGCCACTGTGGACAGGCTGGGACTCGGAGAAGGGGGCCCAGCCCCCTGGCCTCCATCCCGACACCCTTGGCTGCAGGCAGGATTTCAGGCCGGCCTCCTCTGTTCCCCAGGCACCTGGCTGGGCCCTCACAGGGTCCGAGGACTGTCTGCCCCCTCTCCCTGCAGCAGTGAGAAGCTGATACAAAAGACCAACGTTCCTCTTGTCTGCAGGGCACTTCAAGGGCCCAGCCTGCCAGTGGCCCCCGGCTTCTGAAATATCTTATGGGCAGGCAGGACAGACACTGCCTGTACAATGATGTCCCCACTCTGCCAGTGAGTAACGGAGCAGGGACTGTCAGAGCCCAGGTCTCAGGACTCCTGGTCCAGTGCTCATTTTGAGAAGCTTCTCAGCCACGGCAGGGACTCCCAAAGACACTGGGAGGAATGCCAGCTGTGTGGGGGCTGGCAAAGATGGGGAGGGGGTATGGGGTGCCCTGGTCCGCTCTGTCAGTCGCTGGGGGATGGTGAGAACAAAGTCCAAGAGCCACCCACTTTCTGCGGAAAGGTAGGGCCCTGCGGGAGGCGGGTGGCTGCCATGGGCCCCAAGGGCAGGGGTGTCGTGGACAGAAGCTGCCTGCTCAGCATGCCAGCCTTTCCGGAACAGGGAGCCCAGGGAGCTGTCCTCCTTCTGCCTAGCCCAGGAAAGGGCCAAGACACCAAGGACGGGGAGAGGGGCCCTCCTGGAGCTGTGCCCTCCTCTGGCCCACTTAGGAAAGCAGAGGCCACCCGGGCCCAGGCGCTTCGCTGAGGGCGGTGCCCAGCCACAGGCAGGTCCAGGGCTGAGTCTCTGCCAACTCCCAGTGAAGAGGATCAGAGCCTTCCACAAAGGGCCTTCTCGAGGCCCTTCCAGAGGCCTCTATGGATTGGGCCTCTACCAGGAAAGGCCTTTCTTTCGGAAAGGCAGAGCACAGGAGGGGAGCCAGGAGGAGGGAGCTGTGGGCAGAGGGGAGGGGTTGAGAGGGGCAGGAGGGGAACCAGCAGTGCCAGACACTGGGCGGCTCTCATCAAATCCTTTCAAAACCATTCTAACAGGTATGTCTCACCATCCCCATTTTACAGATAGAGAGACTGAGGCTTACAGAGGTAGACCGACCTGCCCAAGACTGCAGGCGACAAAGTCTGGACTCAAAGCTGGAACTGTGTGATTTTGAAGCCCACACTCTTCCCCGCCCAGGGATAATGCAGGACTAGAAAGGTGGAGGCCCAGAGATGGGGCGGAAGAGAAGCACCGCAGGCTGCAGGGGAGCTGGGGGCAGGCAGCAGGCACAGGCCGTTTAGGGAGAGCCTCCCACGGGCAAGCCCAGCTTCACGACCTCAGCCTCAGCCACACACACTGGCCGGCCGGGAGGACAGGATGGGTACTCACGAGCAGGACCGCGCTAGCTGGCAAAGGCCGCAGGCGGGCTTCCGCATCAGGTACATGGGCCACCCGTAGGCAGCCAGGGCAAAAAGCATGTAGTAGCACACCTCTTTATAGCGGAGCATCTCTTGCTGGAAGAGAGGAAGCAGAGGGCGGTCACCTCTTGCCCTTCCCGCCTGCAGCCTCAGGGCGCACGGGCTCCCCTCGATGGGGGAGGGAGCTGCCCCCCGAGGCTCCCCACGGGCTGCAGACCCCCCCCCACCCCGCCCAGCCTTAGAGGAGGAACCGAGCCTCCAGACGATAATTGCATTTCCCTAATTATCTCCGTGCAACCAGGGCACAGACCAGCCCGAGACCTGGCCTGTTGCTCCAATCGCAGAATTAATGATTTGGGAACAGAAAAATACTCAGAGCACTGGATCGATTTTCTTGCCCATTTTCTTGAGAAGGGACGAGAAGGGGAGGCACGAGTGGCAATCACCCTAACTCAGCCACCAGGCCCCGTGAAGGGAAATTTAACCCTGAGAGCCCTGGGCCCTCCAGCTGGGGGTGTCCAGGCCCTGAGCAGACACTGGACACACTGACACGCTGGGCGACCAGACACGTCGCCAACCCTCTCGGCCCTCAGGTCCTCTGTCCGCAAATATAGGGAGACTCCGGCTTGTCTCATAGAGTCACGGGCTCCCAAGGGGCGTCTGGGGCAGATAGGGATCTCCCCGGAGACAGGCACCAGTTGGAAACCCAGTGTCTGTGGCGGGTGGCTGCTGTTATCAGTCTGAGGGGCTGGAGGGAGGCAGGAGGCACAGGTGCCCAAGCAAAGCGGCTGCCAGCAACCCGGTGCCCCAGGCACTGGAGGACTCCTGCACTTAAAAGGAATTAGTCACCTTGTAAAAGTTCAAGAGGGCCATTAGTCATCTTGTGAAGTGAAACAGGTAGTGTTAATCAGGGCCCAGAGGGGTGGAACCGTCCCTGGGCCGGCTCTGCTGCTCTTCAGGAACGAGCTGGAGAAGGTAACTATCCTCCTGCGGCTCAACAGGGCGGGGCGCGGGCGGCGTCTGCCAGGTGGCTGCCGGGACCCCAGCCCCTCGAGGCTCGGCTCCGGTCCCTGCCTCTCCCACGGGTCAGGGGCAGAGGGAGCGGTGGTGAGAGTGAGCCGGGCAGCCTCGGCCAGCTGGGATGGGCTGTTTCCAAGGGGGACACAAACGCCTGCTTGAGGGGGTGGGGGCAGACGGAGAACTGGGGCTTTCCCAGGGGATTTAGGTGCAAGGGGGGGATCCTTTCTAGCAGCATCGTTTACCGGCACCGGGCTGGGAACTGGACTCAGGATGGCTCGTTTCCTCCCCACCGGGGCTCTGGGTGGGCGGTATGCCCAGCGCCACCTTACACCTGCGGGAACAGGCTCAGAGGGCATCAGGGACTTGCTCAAGGGCACGGCGTGAGGCTGCTGCACACCCAAATCCGTCTGCTCCAGAGGCAGGGCCGGCCCTCCCCCACGGGGCCAGCCCACCTCTACCTGTGACGCACAGGCTGGATTTCTACTAAAGGTGCCTGGAAAGAGGTTCTGCTCCCCAAAAAGGCTTGGAAACCAAAGTGCTACGTCTGGCTGCCTTTCTAACAATCACCACCACAGCAGTAATAATAGCAGCTCGCCCTCATGAAGCACTTTGTCACCTCGAGAGGCCAGGACCAGATATTCTGAGCACGGTTAGGCTGATTCTGGGGTTCACTTATAGAACCAGCATGATGGGGGGTTCTCGGGAGGAAGGGGGCGTGAACTGAGGAGAGAGGCTGTCTGGAGAGCTGAGGGGGCACTTGTGACAGAGCACGTGGGGCCGATGCCGTGATGCTTAGGTCATTTGGCAGAGGAAGAGGGATCCGGATGGGGGGGTTGGTGGCGGGATTTTGACTCACCGAGTTCTTGAGGTCGAGGTACTTGGTGTTTCTGGTCACTGGCATTCCAGACAGGAAGGCCAAGATGTCATTGTTGGCCTGTAAGACAGGCGTGTGAAGGTGGCTGCCCAGGTCCAGCTACACGGCTGAGACAGCAGGGTCCAGGCCCCGGGCTCTACGCTCTGCCTGCTTCCCAAGGGCCTGAGGAGCCCAAAGGAGCGTGTGGTTTCTCGCTCTTCCAGCCAGTTTTCCAAAATCGGAGGTCTCCCCATATTTCTCCCCTGCCCCCCAGAGCATCAAATCCCCAGGGATGTTCCCAGCCCAGGTCAGGGGAAATGCATTTTGCATGAGATGCTGGGAGACTCTAACTAGGATTGGTGTGTTGGCAGCAGAGGGGATGGAGAGGCAAGTGCAGAAGGCCGAGCACGCAACAACGTCATTCATTAGGCCCCTATGGTTGGAAGTCCCTTGTGGCGGCAAGGGCAGCAGCCACACACGGCCCAGCAGAGGGAAGTCAGTCAAGCAGAGCCATGAGTGTCTGGCTGGAGGGATGAGCTGGGGAAGGGAGGGGAGCGAGCGTTCACAGGTGACCTCCAGGGCCCAAGAGGGTGCATGGAACCTGGGGAGCAGGGGGCAGCAGTGAGGGGGCCTAGGAGGCGGCTGGTGCAGGAGGCAGCCTGGAGAAGGGCCGGGCGCTCACCTCATCCAGCACGGCGTTGCGCTTCGCCCGCTGCCGCTGCCGGAGCAACACCAGGCCGGCAATGATGTCGGATGGCACAATGTCGAGGTCTCGGAAAAACTCGGCAAAGAGGTAGGCGATTTCCGAGTAGGCATCCTGTGAGGTCCAGGGAGGCAGTGGCAGAGGAGCAGGAGAGAGGATGGGAGACCAGGTGTGAACTCCCAGGGCTGGGTATCTGCTCTGGGCCCCCTGCCCAGGTTCACCCCGGCAACCTCCTCGGCACCAGCTGGGCCCGACCCCGTGCGGCCCTCTGCGGCCCTGACCCTGAGGGCCCTGTCCTGGGCTCTGGGCCCCCAAGGACCTGGCAGTGGCTGTCTGGGATGACCACTGACCCTTCTCCGTCCTCCACCTCCCAGCCCTCTTCTGTCCTCGAGCTCCTACGGCACTCACCGTCTACCACGCACAGGTGCCACCGTGAGCCATTTCCTGTTCTTTCCCCAGACACTAGGAATCAAGGCCTGCCCAGCCGGCTTGTTTCTCCTCCGGCCTTTTTCTCTAACAGAGAAGCCAACACTAAGCTCCTGGCTGTGTCCTCCCCCACCTCCCGCCAGCTGTGACCTTGAAAGGCCCCCCAAGGGCTCTGTGGAGCCTCCTGGCTCTCATGCCCCCTCCCAAGGCTGCAGGCTCACGGACCCCCACGTGTGCCTGGAGAAGGGTGTGAGGCTGGGCCAGTGGCCCCTCTGACTTCCCCGCAGCCCTGTCCTCAGCCAGCCCTGCCTAGGAGGCGAGGCAGACAGAGGCAGCCCTGCTGGCCGTGCTCTGAGCCTTCCCTGCCTCACACCAAGCTGGAGGCTGGAACCTCTCCCCTAACCTGCTGGAGAGGCTGCGGTGGGAACAGACTCATGGCACCCGGTTCTCTCCCGCTGGGTTTCTCCCTTGAGTGTCTGGCTCTTGTAAGAGAAGAAAAACCCAGGGTTGCAAACTCAAACGCCTAATGGGGCCAGAGAGAAGCAGCTACTGCTCAGCTCCAGCCTACCGGCCCTGTGAGAAGCTTGCGTTGCCAGATCCAGGAATACGGAAGTTTACACAAACGCTGCTGATTTTTAAATGTTGGCATCCAGTTCAAACGTTTAAGCAACATAGCACGGGCTGATGAAACGCGCTGTGGGACCGGACCTGGCCGCTGGGCCGTCAGTGTTTGATGGGACCCAGGCTCTGGGACCCCAGGGACATGCTGCCTTTTCACCAGGCTCCAGCACCAGACTCCTGTGCCAGGAGGGGTGGGCGTGTCCCCACAGGCCCTGGCAGGGGCCAGGTGGCTACTCCCTGCCCTCTACCTGGTCTGCCTGTGGCCCAGGCCCTAGGCTGTGACCCCTCAGGCCCCCCAGAAATGCCCATGGGGGTGATCCCCGCCCACCAGGGAATCTCGGGGGGCTTTCTCACACTTGATTACTCACTCTACAGCTCACCAGGGGCTGCTGGTGGGAAGGAGCCACTCAAGGCTTCCAGTGGCTTCCTCGGAGGGCACTTTGCTGTCTGGCTCAGAGAGGAGTGGTCTCCTGCCCTCACTGGCTCTGCCACTAACTAGCTGTGGGACGCTGAGCAAGTCACTCCACGTCTCTGGGCCTCAGCTGCCCGATCTGCAAAACGAGGGGTGGCTAGATGGTCTCTAAGGGCACTGCCAGCGTTGGCGGTTCTGCCTCGATGGCCTGAGGGCCCTGCTCTTTCCCGCCCCCCGGGGCCGCCCCAGCCACCCTGCCTTCCTCCTGCGGCACCCTGGCACTGAGACCTCCTGGGCCCTCTGGTTACTCCTCAGAGCGCCCAGGTGCGGAAGGCTGACTGCACGTCAAGGACCACAGTGAGTGCTTCACAGCCGCGACGGATCTTCCAGAGAAATGTGCAGCTGGTGGTACACTGCTTCTTTGTCTCCGGGTCGTCCTGATTCTTGAGGCTCTCTTCTCCTAAACTAGACTCTGAGTTCCAAGGGGTCAGTGAAAGGTCTTCGAACCTTTCTGTTCCCTTGACAAAGCAAGGGGTCGCCGTTTCACGTGCTGGAGGGAGTTGCTCAGTGAATACAGGTCCTCGTGGGGGCAGGCTGTCACCTACTACTGCTCACAGCCCAGATCCCTTCTACCAGCCCTGCCCACCTGGCTCTGCGAGGAGCTAGGCTCCTGAGTCACCAACAGCAGGCTGTGACCCAAGGAAAGCAATGTCAGTACTTACTGACTGGGAGTCCTTCGTCCGAGTGCAGCAGAGGAACACTTTGAGCCGGCGTGACCAGCTGGTGGCCTGACCCTCCTCTAAGCGGTGCCTGCAAAGGGGGAGAGTTGCTATGTGTGAGGTCAGAGGGCTAGATCAGACAAGCCGGGGCCCGGACGTTACAGAAACAGGGCGGCCTGTTCCCAGGACCCCACCAAAGGGCTCCCTGGCAGAGGGTGTGGGGGAGAACAGGGCCCAGACCTGGCCAAACTGGGTGGCCAGTGAGCTGGCTGTCAGCCAGCAGAGCACTCCTGCTGGCCTAAGATGTTGTGCCATTGGTCAAGGCCTGGACCCATGCTCCCAGCTTCTGGCAGACTGAACACCAGCACGCCCTGAGGCTTCAGAGCTGGGAACCCAAGGTGAGGGCTGCTCTGCAGCCCAGGTGTCCAAGGGCTCAAACCAGGAGCCCTGGGAGATGGCAACAGGGCACAGGGCCTCTCTGCTGACTCGTTCCAAGGCCTGGAGCAGACCTGCTTCCCCCAGAAAGGATTTCAGATGCTTACCTTCTCAGCACTTGGGGGAAGATTAAGGGACTGAAGGAGGCTCTGCATTTCCCAACTCCTTGGATCTGTTCCATTAGAGGGACAGGACCTCCACCCTTCACTGCATGGCTGGCCCTGTCCATTTCCACCCCCACCTCCAGCCCCAGTGAGTCTGGCTGCTCGGATGGGGAGTCGGGGTATCCAGGAGTCTGCACCCCGAGGCAGGGCGATTGGCCAGTTACCCACGGAGGCCCTTCGAATGCCGGGTGCCAGAAGCCAGTGTGTTTTGAGCATAAAGATAACAAATCCAACATTAAAAATGTACATTTCCAGACTGAGCAAGAAGGGGCTGACTTGCTTTTGTGACATGTGCCCTTCTGCCGGCCCCTGCAGAGCCTGATGCTGGGGGTCAGGAGGGAAAGGCATGGGTGACCCCGAATGCGTGCAAGGCACTTAGCATCCATCAGGAGTGATGGCCGGGCCCTCCTTCCCGACCTTCTCGCCTCCTCTCTGCGGCAAAAGGCCGCCTCCTGCTCCCAACCCTGGTTACACAAGACAGCGGCAGGCAAGGACAGGGAGAGCCACGGGGCCTTCCATGGCTACAGGAGGCGGGTAGGAAAGGGTGCAAAGGAATTGCTGTTTCAGGGACCTGCCAGCCCTGAGGGACCTGGGTAGCCTTACATCCTAAACAAACGTCCCACCTGCTAGGGGCTTAATGAAGGGAAAGCATTCTGGCCAAGCTGGGCTCCCAGAGCATCACATTCTTAAACCCTTTCTAACCTAACGGGGCTTCAAATGTTCACAGAGAAGTTCTGCTGGTCTCCGGCTGAGGGAAGCGCTGACTGTACACTTTACTGAAGTACCCTTTATGCCCACCAGGGGGCAGGCGGAGATGGTGACAGGTTTGGCCTACCGCATCAGTTAGGCTACGGAGACCCAGTCAGGGAAAGACATACTAAATCTGGACATAAAGTTCACAGACCCGGCACCCCTCTGTCTGGTGTCTCAGTAACATGAAGGGAGGGCAGACACTCCTTCTGCAAAGATCCAAGGTTAAGGCTCCCAGGGAGTAGTGCTGAGAATAACCCATCTCCCAACCCCCACCATATTTCACTGGAAGGAGAAAGGGCCAAGGAGTTAAACAGCTTTCAGACTTCCAGAAACTAAAATAACCTGTTGCTGAGGTGCAGCAGGGCTGTGTGTGAGCCCAAACCTGGAAGTGGATGAGGGGTCGGCGGGCTTGAAACATCCTGGTTAGAAACACTGTTGGTTTCAGAGCAGAGGGAGGGCAACTGGAGAGCAGCCTGAGAGGTGGTCACATTAACCAAGCCGCGGCCTGGGCTGCCCTCCCGAGCCCCGCCCAAGAGCTGGCGAAAACGCCACAGGTCGGGCCCAGAGACTGCAGGAAAACTTTCTAATAAAAATGACAGCCATCGCCAACCCCCACCGCAAAGGCGTCGGCTGCCCCAGGCCCCAAAGGCAATTACCCAGAGTCAGGGAGGGGAGATTTTTTTCCAGGGCCCCAGGAGCCCAGAAACCAGGTCAGGTGGGGGCGTGTGCTCAGAGTGAGCAAAGTGGGACGGGTGGCGGCCAGCTGTGCGGCAGGGAAAACGGGCTCCGGGGCCTTGGCTCCGAGACCTGGCATTTCGGGCTGGGTGGTGGCCAGGCCAGGCGCGGGTGTGGCTCTGGCCACAGCGCTGAGCTGACGTGGAGGGCCTGGCGGAGCCAAAGGAAGAGGCCTGGAGGGTGGGGTAGGGGGAATTCCTGCTGGGCAACCTGCTCCCCTGGCTGAGGGCTCCTGACCGGATGCTGGAGGCTGGGGATGGAGCGCCCCCATCGTGACCTTGGGAAATGTGACCTGCCCTCTCTGGGATTTGGACCCCTCATCGGTAGAATGGGTCTCACAATAGCACTGGGGTTGGCCAGAGGAGGAAGCGGACTGCTGGTGGAAGTGGCTCAGGGCGGGGGCCTAACTCACGGCAGAAGCTCGATTATTGGGAGTTACCGTGACCCCCCCCCGGAAGCCCTCCTCTCTTTTTCTTTCAGTAAACAGGAACTACTGTGACCCTGCCTGAACGCCCTCCCTCATTTTCTCTGCCATGGCACAGCTTTCCCCCTTCTCAAAACACCATGCATAATTTACCCCTTCCAGGAAGCCTTCCTTGATTAACCTCCTCCAGCCTCCTTAATGCTAGAGGCAGCCTTGCCTAGTGGTTAAGCGCAAAGGCTCTCCAGCCAGACTGCCTGGCCTTGATCCAGGCCCCATCATTTACAGGCTGTGTCACCTCAGGCAAGTCACATAACCTCCCTGTGCCCCAGTTTCTTCATCTGTATTACGAAGATGATGATAACAGCTACCTCATAGAGCTATTGTAAGTTAATAAATGCAATGCTTGGTCGGCGTATCTGTCCTCCCACTATTACTATCGTTGTTATTAGCACTGAAGACGATGACAACGCTAACAATGGCTACCGTTCACTGAGCGGGTACCAAATGTGAGCATTGGGGTAACCACTGTGCTCGTATTATCTCATACAAATCTCAGGACAGCAGCATGAAGCAGGAACTGTCATTATTCCCACTTTATAGACCAGGAAACTGAGGCCGGGAGAGGCCGAGCCTTTGACTGATACCCTGGTTCACATGAGCTGAGACACAGTTCAAGAGGCGCAGGGCCAGCCTCTGCCCACCCGTCTGCAAAGCCCCGAGGGGACTGCCCACCGCCCCGCCCACTGACCGCAGATTGTAGGTCCGCAAGTTGCGCTGCCTCCTCTTGGTGGCTCTCAGCTTGACGAAGGTGCGGCCCGTGGGGTCGAAGACGCAAAGGACAGTGATGCAGACGCTGAGGATGACCACCCAGTTGCAGACGACCATCCCTGGGGGGGGCAGCAGTGGGAAACAGGAGGTGGAGGTGCTGGGGACAGCTCCCTGGCTCACCAGCTCTGAAGAAAAGGGTGCTGTAGCCTCCCGGCCCCCAACTGCTTCTGGGGCCCAAGAGCCCCTGGCCCCAGCCTCTGGCCATGTGGCTGCCCCTTGCTGAGCCGTGACCCTAAGGCGCACCCCTGGCACAGAGCAGACGGCTGTGCCTCCTGTGCACCCCCAGACCAGGGGCACCTGAAGGTGGACAGCAGACCACAAAGATGAAGGCCACAGCCCGCCCAGCCAACCTGCCAGGCGTCCTCACAGAAGCTGTTCCCCCTGGCCGTGCCCGACCCCGTCACCTCCGCCCCGGGTGGCTGACATACCGAGGGTGACGTTCTTGGCAGTGAGGTCGTCGCAAGAGGTGTAGTACTGGGTGAGCCAGACGATGCCCACGATGGCGTAGATGAACTCAATCACCAGGATGGCTGCAGGGAAAGCAGGGCCCTGGCTGGAGGACAGCCACGGTCCATCCGTCCACCCACCGAGGAAGGGCCCTGAAACCTTGGCCCGGCCCCTCCTAGCACAGGGCCTCCAGCCAGCTGGGCAGCAGGGGCATCAGACCCCTGTCCATCTGGTCCCCCTGTCGCACAGGCCTTGTGGGGAGAGGGCCCAGGGAGTGGCCGTCCCGCCACCGTTCTGTCCTGCTGGGAGGTGCCCGCCTCATGTTCTAGCTTATGTGCCCTCAGGCCCCCGACGCCCCCGAGAAGCTGACCAGGTGATGACGAGGTATTTCCCTGCTCTTTCAGGATTTTAGAATTACATCCCAGAACTCCAGAATCAGACGTATCTTAGACAAATTACCTAATTTCTCTCAGCCTCCCTTTCCTCGCCTGTAAAATGGGGTGACAACGTCTACATTACAGGACTGTGTGTGAATTAGATGAGAGGGCTCATTTCACAGAAACTGCCGTTTCCCAGGAAGAAGTCTCCACACTTAAGGCAAGAGAAGGGAGGGAGGGAGAAGCCTGCTCAGGCCAGAGCACTGAGCCCAGGGATGCGATGGAGTCGGGGAGGGGGATTCGGCAGCCCCGCAGGGGGCAGGGTTGGAAGCCCCAGTTCCACAGGCAGGACCGTGAGGGAGCTAAGAGCCCAGGCTGTGGGGCCAGACAGCCTGGTTCAAACCTCAGCTCTGACACTCACACCCTTACTAGCTGTGTGACCTTGAGGGAGCCCATGAACCTCCCTGGGCCCCAGACTTCTCATCTGTAAAACAAGACCTATAACAGCTCCTCCTTGAGTTAACAGGGGGGAAAGGGCTTAGCACAGTGCATAGGAGCGCAGGAGACATGTTCACTAGGAATGACCAGGAGAAGCCCAGGAGAGGACAAAGGCTGGCCCTCCAGGCCGCTGGTTCAGGCACCTGAGGGCTTCCCCGGAGCGGGGACTGTCTGGGGAAGGATCACAAAGCAGCTGAAGAGATGCGCACGACCTATAACAGAGGCTGGCAAACTTTTTCTGTAAAGGGCCAGAGAGAAAATATTTTAGACTTTGCAGGTCCTACTCTCTGTCACAACTACTCAGCTCTGGTGTTGTCATGAGAAAGCAGCCAGAGACCGCAAGTACATAAATGAATGAGTGGGCCTGGGTTCCCATAAAACTTTATTTACAAAAACAGACGGCAGGCCGGATTTGGCCTGAGGCTGTGGTCTGCCCGCTCCTGTCTAGGATGTAAGCCCAGTAAGTCTGTTGGTTCGCTGCTGTACCCGGTGCTGACACAGGGCCTGGCCCACCGCATGTGCCCATCACCTGCAGGCTGAATGAACGATGGAGCACAGGAGGGAGGAGGTGGGGGTGGTCCGGAGCAGCCCCCACCCGAGGCGGGTGGCCCTTACCCAGGCGCACGTAGAGCACGTACTGCATGGATTCGCGGGGCTCCGTGTAGAGGATGCCCCCGCGCATGCTCAGCCAGATGATGGCCATCTCGGCGATCATGCAGCTCAGCAGGATGCCCAGGTAGCCGCGGCCGTGGTCCACCAGGTTCAGGGAGCAGGCCTCGTGTGGGTTGTAGACCAGACCGAAGAGCACCACAGACAGGATCACAAACCTGGGGAGACACCTGCGTTAGGGCCAGGCAGCCTGCACACCTCCGTGGCCCCTGCAAGCAGGCCCTGCCCACGTGGGTAGCATCCCAAGGGAGTGGGTGTTTCAGACACCTCCTCCTGGGAGCATGACAGGGACAGGAGAGATGGCCGGAGAGCCTCCTTCCAGGCCTAGGCGTGGCCCCGAGACTCACCAGGTGGTGTGCAGGAGGAAGAGGAAGATGGCTGGCAGGACGAGGTCATCGCTGCCCACAGACCAGCGCCGCCGGAACACCACGATGCCGGGCATGGCTGGCTGTTCTGCGGAGGCTCAGCGGGCCTGATGCTCACCTCCTGAAAGAGAGCAGGGCACCTATGGCTGCCCGGGCCACTGTGGCACCAGGGCACGGCACTCCTGGCCAGGTGTGTCCAGCAGCACAGGCATCTCTCCCAGGCCCCACGGCCCAGGGGCTTCCAGGCCACTGGAAATGCTGACCCATCCCCAGGCAGGACCTGTCTCCTGCCCTCTCTACCCGCCAGAGCCAACGTGAAGGACCTCAGCAGCCAGACACTGGCTTCGGCCTGAGGTCTCTCCTGCACCCAAGACTGGCACTAGCCCTTTGGGATCTGCCTGGGGTTACCCCAACAGTAACTGCTCGGCTCCATTCAAGACCTGGGCTCACCCTCTACCTCCCGTACATGGATCAGGGGACCCCCAGGCCCCCTACTGCCTTCCGTCAAGGAGACCTGGCCCAGTGTGCGCAGTCCTGGGGGTAGGGTGGGGGGTTTCTCAGACCAAGCGTGAGCCAAGCAGGGCAGGTGGAAGGCTGAAGGCTGTGGGGAAGGCGGGGGTGAGGGCACGCATAGGGCTGCAAGCATGGAGGGTGGGAGGGCTGAGCACACAGTGGGTGCTCAGTAAATATCTGCCGAATGAGGTCTTCGCTGTCTTGCTCTGCTGGAACCCTGGGAGCATGCTCTATGACTTGGTTTTGCACCCATCAGACAGAAGTCCCAACCACAGCTACGTCTCTCGGCAGGGACGGACACGGGCGAGATACGGGGTCAGGAGCATGGCTGGGGCACCCAGCCCCACTGCTGGAAGGGCAGCGGGCGAGCCCCGCAGGGTAACCCACCCTCTCGGCACCCACACCTCCCACACCACCCTGAGCCAGGCAGCCTTTACTGCCCACTTCCCAACACTCTGAAGTCACTGAATTCAAATCAGCCACAGGCAAGCTCAGAGAGCAGTGCCCAGAATCTGGGGCCCCACTCCCTAGAGCCCCAGGAACAAGGGTAGTGGTGTGGGCCAGGGGGCTCCCCACAGGGGGCTGGTCAGGAGATCCCAGGGAGGGGCTCCTGTGCTGAACTGTGCAGAGGAACCCCTGCTGCAGGGGGCTGGGTGCCCCGCGGGTGGGCAGGCGCCCCCAGGCCGGCAGGGGCTTACACAGCACCTGGTCCAGGGGCGGGCAGTAAGTCCAGGGAAAATGAGTGTCCGCAGAAACCAGCATCACTCGGGAAAGAAGTGGACAAGTCTCCCCCGCCGATGGGCAAGGCCCTCAGGGTGGGCGAGGGGACGTGGGGCCCGGTGATGGGCCGCCATGCCCAGCCCGACTCGTCTCCATCTCCCTTTCCCTCTCCTGGGTGCAGCCACTTCATCCAGCCGCTGCGCTGCCAGGCTGCTCCCGGGGAGCTGGCGGCCTGGCAGGCTGGCTAGCCTGCTGGGGTCGTGCCTACTCCTCCCCCCACCCTCAGGAAGTGACATCATCCCACTCTCTCCCAGGAGGAGTCAGAGCACGGATTCTGGGAAGAAAGGAGAAGGATGGAGAGCGTGGGAGTCACATGGTGGGGTGTCTGGGGTTGTGGGGGGTGGGTCTGGGACTGCATGGGGCTGGGGCTCCAACGGTGTGTCTGTGACAAGCAGCTGACAACACCAGCTTCTTTTCAAAATGACGGGATAGGAGGGGCTGGCTCACCGTGGGTGGCAGCAGGGCTGGGGCAGGACAACACTGCCAACAGCTGGTGTTTCAGCCACCAGTTCTCTACAGCCCCTCCCGTCTCCAGGTGGCTCTCAGAGGGTAAGGTGGAATGCAGTAGGGGGGCTCAGGGAGCCCCCCTCACACGAATGGAATGACTGAGAGGTCTGGGGCCAGCATGATCCCAGCAGGTGCTGCAGCTCCGCATCCCCTCTAATCAGGCCAGGCCTGGGCCGAGGAAGGGGAGTGCTACCCCAGAGGGGCTGGCGGGCAGGCCAGGGTCCTGCCCCTGCCAGCAGCCTCAGGTATGCCCCTCGGAGGGCCCTCCCAAGCGTTCTGAGGGGCACACACCTCTCGTCCCCACCCTTTACCTCTTGGAGTCTAGAGCGGCTAACACTCCTTCAATTCACACGTACCATTCATGCAACACCCTGAAACTCACACGCAGCCCCACACGTGCACACGGCCCCGGCCTCCCCGCTCTCAGGCGGGAGAAATGGGGTGAGCCTGGCCCTGGGCCCTGCAGAGGCGGGCACAGATCCACCAAGACACTGGAGTGACACGGCCATGGCAGCCTCTGCCCCAGCCATGATCAGGGCCAGTGCCCACCTAGATCACAGGGCAGGGCTCCTGCAAGCTGACCCTACTGGGGGCTCCATTACAGGTCTGGGGACCACAGCCTGCTCCCTCCGGCCTGCGCCCAGAGCCAGCCCACCACCGCAGAATCTGAGGCAACAGCGCTGGGAGCCCAGGCTGCTTGGCTTCAAACCTGGGCTCCACCACCCGCTAACTGTGTGACTTACTAGTCGTGCCTCAGTTTCCATAGCTGTAAAAATGTTGGTTATCCCCAACTGCTAGTGTTCTGGTGAGGACTACGTGAGGGAACCTCTGCAGAGGCCCTGGCCCTGCTGCGTAATGACAGCGCCGTCTCAGCGGGGGCGGGTGAGGCAGAGGAAGAGGCCTGAGCCCCGACCACCACCCTCGAGGACCAGCCGCCCCACCCCCGCTGGGCTAGCTGCTCCTCCAGCTGGTCACCAGCAGGTCACGGGCTGGGGTGGGGGTGACAGGGCCTGTGCTGCTGCTGGGGGAGGATGAGACAGCTCTACTCCATGCGGATTCATAAATCTCAGGGCTGCTATTTTTAAGGGCCTGAAAGGCACCCTTTCTCTAAGACCCCAGCCCTTCACAATGGGGCCCTGTTCCCCTGCTGGGATGTGATTTCATCTGGAGGAAATGTCTCCGGATGAGGAGGGCAGAGGCTACTTCCTGGTCTGGGGCTGCCACAGAACACCTCCCCTGGCCCTCTTCCCCCTGGGCACAGGGTTGGTGCCCTCCAACGACCACGGTGGGGGGCACACACCCTCCCTCTCCTTACCCCAGACAGGGCACGTCCAGGGCAGGCGTGGTGCCCCCTTCAGCAGGGGAGAACAGGGGCTCTGCTGGGGGCCCCCTAGCCGCAGCAGGTGTGAATGGGGTGCCGGGACCCCCATCACACGGAAGGAATGACTTGATCAGCCCTGGGGCCCCTCTCTTCCCCCACCTACAAAGCCCAATTTTCCTGCTGGTAATTCAGACCCCTTGGGTTAAGCAGTAACCATTCGGGGAGTTCCTCTTTCTAAAAACAGAGAACTGTTTTTAAAAATGCACACGCTGTCCCCTACTTTAAAAACCACCCGTGGCTCCCCCTGGCCTGCAGGATGAAGTCTATGTCCCTCAGGCAGTAGCTCAGGGCCTCAGTCACCAGCAGGCAGGCTGTGCAACCTGGGGCAGGTGCCTTACCCTCTTTGAGTCCTGGAGCAGGAAGATATTCCCCAACACATGGGGACAGACTCCAGCAGAGATCGCGCCCCTAGCCGGTGGTTCCTTCTGGCTAGGGAGGTGCTCTAGTCCCTCCTCACACTGCCCTATCCTCCTTTCCCAACCCCCCAAACTTGCTGCTCCCTAAAAACATCTCACTGGAAGATTCCATGCTTTGCTTGCCCCAGTTCCTCTGCCAGGCAAAATCCCACTCATTTTTCTAGGCCAGGCAAAAGTCACCTCCTCTCTGAAACCCTTCCTGACAGCCCCACCCACCCCACCCTTCTCAGGCGCAATAGGTTACTCCCTTACGGGACCCCCAGACCCCGCACCCCATTGAGGCCCTGGGCACACTTTCTTACAGGAAACCTGCTGACTCCTTGCTGTCTACCCCTGCCCCAGCTCAACTGAGAGTCCCAGAAGGCTGGGTTCCCACAGCATTGCCCATCTCCACACTCCCGCTCCGGCCCCTGGAGTGTGACCCAACCAACCTCAAACCCAGCCCTTCTCCTCGGAGCAGCCCAGCCCTGCCCCAAACCTCTACTCCGTGCCCCTGAAGCAGCTACACCAGCAGGTTGGACAACAGCTCCCCTCCCTGTCACAAGGGCCCTCTCAGCTCACATCCTTTTCCCTTCTGGAAATGCCCCACCCCAGGGCCTCCCCTGATGGCTCAGGGAGAACCACCTTCCCCTCCTCAGGCTATCTTAACTGTTCTAGGGCTTCAGTTTCTTCTGTCTGCAAAACGGGGACCGCACCATCCCCTCAGGCTGTATGGAGAACTGGCTAAGATGACGTCACTGAGGGTTTGCACAGGTCCTGGCAGACCCCAGGGCTCCATTCGTGGTGGCTGTCACAGTCACAGAGCTCCTGAGGGCCTTCTTGGGGACTGCTTGGCAGGGTTATCTGTGACTGGGTGCCAGGGTCTGGGCAGGTGCTTGATGCCCATGACTGGCTCCAGCTGATCGGAAAGGACCAGACTGAGCAGACATAGTCCTGAGTGGATAACCCACGCCCGCCATTGGCCTTCGGGGGCTGCTAGGAGGTCAGGCTGGGGCTTATTCCCTGATCCTAAGGTTCCCTTAGGCTCGGCCCTGGGAGCAGGTTTTGGGGAGAAGAGCCCCTCGGCAGTGGGGCCCAGCCAGCAGGATGCCAAGGGCCCCCAGGGGATGGGGAGGGCATGGGCTGCTGCAGCCGCTTCCAGATGGCCCAGCACAGCGAGTTCCAGCCCGGGGCTGGTGGGAAATGGGAGGTCACCTTGCTTGCCTGCAGTGGGGCCAGGTCACAGGAGTCAGGCTGCCCCAGTGCCCACAGTGGACAGGATGATGTGCTGTGAGAGTCCCATCCACTGCCACCTCCAGCCTCTAGGTCAGCCCATGAGATTTCCCACCTGACGGAGGTGGCCTCGGTCATCCAGGCCCAGGCATGGGCTGGAGATTGAGCCTGAAGAAAGGGATAACAGCCAGGTCCAGGCCACAGGGACACATCTGACATCAGCTGAGCACCTCTTGTGTCCCAAGTCCTAGACTAATCACCTTCACCCTCACAGCAGTGACACAGGGGTAACAGCGTCACTCTCACTTCACATGCTCTAAAAATGGGCTGTGTCTGAGTCCTGGCTCAGCACTTACTGGCTGTGTGACCTTGGACGAGTTACTTAACCTCTCTGTGCCTCAGTTCCTCATTTCTAAAATGGGGCTAAGAACAGTACCTGCTTCAGAACTGTTATGAGGGTCCAATGTCATATACCTAAGACAGCACCCGTCACATAGTGCGTGCCCTTCCATCGTTATTACTATGGAAGAACGAGGAGGTTGAGGCTCAGGGACTTTGACCCCTTCCAAGGGGCAGGAGGCTGAGCCGGCAGGAGGCCCAGGTCCTTCCTGCTGCCATCCAAGGTCCCCACCTCATGCAGGAACGTCAGAGCTAGAAGGGGCCTCAGAAACAGTCCACTGTCCCCTTTTCTGGGTGAGGAAACTGAGGTTCAGAATGGCCCCAGAGGCCCTGGCTTTCCTGTAACGTCCATGCCTGCGATGTCACCGCCACGCGCTGGACATACAGCCTGGAGTCCCCAAGCCGGCCCGCTGCCTTCTCCTTCCTCGCAGCACACTCCCCTCCAACCCCCGAGAGACACTGCAGTGAACAGAGTGTCACCCCAGGGAGCCTGGGTGAGATCCTCTCCTTCATGCTCTTCCAGATGCATCACCCTCTCTCGGAAGCCGCCAAAACCCACGTGAGCTCCCCCCTGGAGATCAGACCGCATCAACCACGTGTACAGCTTCGAACAGTCATCTATGGCTGGTCTCCACCTCCCGGGGGGCAGGGTCCCCATCGCTCTGCAGCTCGGCTGGCGAGGGAGAGGAGATCCCCGGACCCAAGCCCAACTTCCCTGACCCCCAGTTCACCCCTGCCTGCTGAGGCTGGTGACCGGGCCAGCTACAGCCACACCCCAAAGCAGCCAGTCCTGGACCAAGAGGAGCGTCCCCAAGCCAGAAAGTCACCTCCCCTCCAGGCCTCCGTTTCCTCTTCTGAAGAACGAGGAGCCTGGACCGATGGGAGGCTTGTACTTTTGTATTTGTTAGTTTTGTGTCCACAACCAAGGGCTGCATGTGCCTTATCGGAACCAGAACCAATGAAAAAGTAGAGTATATATTTAAAAACAAACTTCAGAGCAAAAGCTAAGTAAATTAAAATAGAACGTTGGGGAATCCATTGCACACATGCAAGACACAAAGACCCACATGGGAGCGATATGGAAAACTATCATTGGACCGAACTTCCTGGCAGCCAAAGTAAAAAGGGAAACTGAGGAGTCTGTAAGGGCTCTTTTAGGGTGTTTTGAATCAGGTGCCCTGAGGGGAGAGCCCAGGACTCCCATTCCCATGATGAGTGGGATTCCTCGTGTGAAAAGGCTTTGAAAGTAGAAGGTGCTCTAAAAGAGGTAATAGGGACAGGTACCTGCTGGCCCCTGGTCTCTCTGATTCCCAGTGTTTCTGTGTTGGGCACTGGGGCTTGTCTAGTCTTGCGGGGGCATGTGACTTAGGAGACTGACCGCAGTGAGGCTGGGCACCGGGCAGCCTGCAGGGCGAGTGGTGGCCCCTAGAGGCTCCATCCTAGCTGGGGTGGGCTCACCGGCGGGCCACCCTCTTGCCTGACTGAGCTGGCAGGCGGCTCCTGCTCTTGAGCCGTGGTAGTCAAATCCCAGCTCCTCCACTCAGCCGCAGGGCTAGTTAGAGGGCTGGCGAAGCTCTCTGCTCACTTGTGTGGCTCACAGGAGAGCACCTGCAGAGTATGGCTTGACACACAGCCCCGGAACCGCTCACCATACTGCAGAGCAGTTCTGCGTGATGGCGGGGAGATCTCAGCCCACCTGTAAGTTGGGGGCCCGTCGTTCGCTTCCTCTGGCATTTGTCGGTTGCCCACCATGTCTTGGGCCTCATCTAAGCCTGTTACAAACATAACTCATTAATCCTCATGATGACTCTATGAGGGAGGCACAGATGAAGAAACTGAGGCTCAGAGAGGCGCGATGGCTTGCTCAAAGATCCTACGACAAGGACGAGGCAGAGCTGGGATTTCAAGAGCCTCTTTAAATTACTTGAAAGGAAAAAATCTGTCTGGCCATCAGTCCGACTCCTTATTCCCACGCACACAGACACCGAGACCCACACGTTCCTTCCACCCCAGATGCCCCTTCTCCTTCCCAGGTCCGCGGCCCCACACAGAGGCTGGGCTCTGGAAGGCACTAGAATGGGGAAGGCGGCGGGGGAGGTGACACAGAGAAAGCACGCATGAGCTGGGGGCCACGTGCGCCACCAGCCTGTGCCCGGGTGTGCACAACCCAAGTTAGGGGCCCGAAAGCTGTCGCTTTTCACACGTCAGCTGTACAGGAGCAGAAGGCAGAGCTGAGCCTGCCCAGGGCTGGGGCTGGATTTCAGCACGAGATGGGGCCTCACATGCCCAGGCCCTGGGACTGAAACAGTGTGCTTGGCGCGGCCGAGGGCAGGAGGGGGACGCCACTGCCACTTCGTCCCCATCGCCCCCTAGGGTCTTAGACTTACAAGCACCTTCCCCACCCTCCCTGCCAGGATGGCCTCGAAGGACCAGGGGAGGCGCCTCCTACACCCCGTGGGTGTGTATGGCTGTTCCCATGTCACAGATGGGGAAACTGAGGCTCTGAGAGGTTAAATAACCTAGTGAGTGAGGGGCCAAGTGAGGCTTGGAAGCCAGATCTGTCTGCTATGTTCTCTCCGCATCAGTGTGCTTGTCGGTCAGAGCCCCTCCCTGCAGATCTGGGGCCAGGCAGAGAGTTCAGGGAAGACACAAAAAGGAGCAGCTCCAACTCCTGGGGGCCGTGCCTATGGCCACCCTGGGCTGCACCCGGAAACAGCTCCAACAATTATTCTACCACCTGTTAATATTTTAAAACTCTTAGATAGCATTTACCCCACATCAGGTACCGTAGCAAGCAGCTCACAGACATTACCGCCTTTAATTTAATCCTTTTAACAACGCTATGAGGTAAGTGCTATTCTTAGCCCCATTTTATGGATGAGGAAACAGAGGCCCAGAGAAGTTAAGTAAATTACCTGAGGTCACTCAGCTAGTAAGCGGCAGAGCCAGGCCGCGAGGCTCTGGAGTCTGCTCCCAGTCCCTCTGGAGGAGCCCTCCGCAGGGCTCCATTTATCACAGGGGCTCCAGCTTCTCATTCTCACGCTAATTATCTTCCACTCATCTACAACAAGCAGAATTTGCCATCTGCCACTGGCCCTGACACTGACACCAGCTAACTCCCTGGGAATCAATTGGGGCCATTCGTTGCCTGCTAGTTGTTCTGGGAGGCCGGCTGGCTGCCGGGGAAGGGGAACAAGGAGGGAGGGCCGGGAGGGCAGCAGAATCCCCGCCCCGGCCCCCAGGGCTCACTCAGTCCTGGGCCGGAATGGATCTGTTTCCAACAGTGGAAGAGGTTCCCCAGGTTCTGGCCAGGCCAGGTTTTGTTTCTAAATCTCCCTTGGAGACCGTTTATTTTCCTGAAACTAGGAATGGGCCCTCGTCCCACACTCATTCCAGTGCCCAGAGCTGCGGGATCCGGCCTCGTGATGAGCACTGCCCGGCAGCCTGGGTCTCCGAGTCCCAGGCCACTTCCTCCTGCCTGTCTGTGGGAGGACACAGGCGGGCAGGCACCCATCCCAGGGCTGCTTCTGTTCAGGCGGAGTCCTTCCTACACCACCCTGCAGTCTTCTCACACCCTAACACTCGAACACATCTCACCTCACTCCCCCAGGACCCCCTCCTCTTTCAGAGGCGAGCACCTGGAGGGTGGTGGCCATCCAATGAGCCCACTGCTGCCGTCCCCCCGGCCCTGGAGTGGGCAGCCCTGGGGTTGAATCTTGGATCCACCACTACTCGTGGTCTGTGATCATCACTTCTCTGAGCCTCCGTTTTCTCATCTGCAAAATGGGATGATGAGGGTACCGCTGCATAGAGAGTCATGAGGAGTAAATAAAACAATGCATATTGAACACTCAGCTCAAAGAAAGCATCAGTGGCTTCATTATTATTAATCACCTCTCCTGAGAGTGCTCAGACCTTTTCCTCCCTGCTCCAAGACCCTGCCCCCGAGGTGTAGCAGGAGTGCTAATCTCTCTGCCATTTAAGTCACCCTCCAAAGAGAAAGGCCCTGTTCTCTATCACTGGTGTCCAGGCTGACCCACGCCTGCCCTCACCCTTGCCAACCTATTAACGCCCCGACCTACCTTCTCGGGCATGGGTGGCAGCAGCTCCTAGGAGCCCCACCCGCCCAGGCTGAGGCTTGGCTGGCCCTGCCTCCTTCATCCACAACGAGCTAGGGAGATGGAATCACCATCCCAGGGGTCAGCTCGGACCATGGAGCTCCAGCCCAGGGCCACGCCTTGCTCCTGCCAGAATGCACCATGTCTGTCTGTTCTGAGTTTTCAGGGCGTCCCATGGCAAGCCCCTTCCCAGCTCAAACTCTGGACACCCCGAGGAGCAGAGGCCCACCGCTCATGCCCACTGCCCAGTCCAGCATCCTACCGGCTCCCCCAGGGCCTCTGCTCTCCTGTGACGCCCCCACCAGGCAGTGTGTCTGCAATGCTCAGGCCTGGCTTCTCAGAGCTTCCCCGAGAGGAGACTCTCTGTGCCAGGTGCTGGCAACACCTCTGAGAGGAATTAGCACCTTCCACTTAATGAGAAGCCGTTAATGAGGATGCTAAATGGGCACACCTAGCCTGACACCTCTGTCTGGGAAGCCCCACCAGCACGCCCAGCATACCCCGTGCCACCGCCGTCCTGTGCACCGCCTCAGGCTGTGGGCTGGACTTCGGGGTCTGGCCTGCATTGGGGGAAGTGCTTCCCAGACTCCAGGAGGCCGCCTGGGCCATGGATCCAAGGAGGGGCCACCTCCCTGGGCAGCATGGCCATGTAGGGCACAGGACCGCTGCTCGGGCTATTGGGTTTCACTTCGACCATTCCCTGGGCATCGCAGAAGCAGGCAGGGATCGAGTGGCAGCCTAACACAAGCTCTTTCCCAGGGGAGCAGGTCTGCAGAGTTCCCATGGGTGACAGGAAGGGCCACCTTCCCCTGGCCCCACGGAGCACGGAAGGAGGTGGCACATGCTGCTTCCAACAGCACATGGCCCCAGCCCAGGCCCTGCCCCTCGAGGCACTCCTCTCCCATGCCCAATGAGGGGTGTCAGTGCTCTTCAAAGCGGGTTTCTGGAAACCCTCAGGACCCCCAGGTGACGGGAGGCAGTCACAGCAGGCGGGGGCTTGCGGGCTGTCAGTAAGAGCAGCTTTTAGCTGTTGTACGTATTGAGGTTCCTTGTAATATTGCGTTGAACTCAACAGTCTCAATGCTTAAAAATGTTCGAGAGGCACTGGACAGGATGACCTCTTGGGTCCACTCTGGCCTTGACTGTCAGAGTTCCACTTGCTGTTTTGGTGCAGGACGGCCGAGGGGAGAGCCAGGGGGCTCCAGGCAGGAGCCCAAGCTAGTTCGACCGTCACTAGTGTCTCCTGCCCTGGCCTGAGTCACGAGGGCAAAAGGGGTCACAGAAAACCCTGACCCAGGAGCTTGGAGACGGGGACTGTGGCTGACTCTTCTGTCCTTCAGACCCCTTCATTTCCTCCCACCTCCCCGGGCATGACAAAGCTGGACCCAAGCATAAGTGACCAGAGGTGTCCCAGAAGGGGTGGGGACTCAGAAGGCCCTCTGCCACTGGGTGGAGGACACAGCTAGACCAGGCTCTTATCCTAGAGCCTCTGTGCACACAGACGTCACTGAGCCTCGACCTTCAGAGTACAGTGCAGGAACCTCTTCCCAGGACGAGTCACCACCGTGTCGTCATCCATAAAAGGGAGACGGTGATGACAGTGCCTCCCTCATGGGGCTGCTGTGAGGACAAAGTGAGTTCAGAGTTGTAAAGTGCTGAGAGCGTTCTCAACACGCACACAAAGTTTACAATTTAATTAAATCAATCCCCTCCTCAAAAGCAGGTTATGGCTCTGAAATGCCCTTTAAATAAGATTAAATCTCCCAACCATTAGCTATAAAGCTCTCCACCAACCAGGGCCCCCCTCCATCCCTGCCAGCGGGCAAGCCCATTTCCTGCTCCCATCTTCGTCTCCCGCCTGCTCATCAACAGAGCGAGCCGCTGCTCTCCAGATGGCCCACCCACTTCAGGGGCTCCTCCTGGGAAAGCTTGGGGCCGTCCCCACTTGGCCTTAGGCCTCAGCCCTGGTTGATCAGCCCACTAAGGATCAGTGAAGTCAGGACCCACTTTCCTGCAGGGTCCTGGTGCCCCTGCCTCACCTCGGCCTCCCCGAGTGGGGGATGGGCCCGCAGGCTCTGGGCAACCAGAGACTGGAACTAGGGGGGGAGCCCAGGAGGTGAGCACTGGCCCCTGCAATGGGGGCAACCCCATCAGGCACCTGATAAACATCAGCCTTCTGCTCGCTCATGCCTGGGTAGGACGGAAGGACCCGCTTTCTGTCTGGGTAGACAAAGGCTCGGAGAGAGCAGGCCCCAGCCGGCCCAACCTCAGACTCCAGAGTTTGGCATCACTTTCCCTCCCAGAGGATTCACTCTTAGCGCCTGGGGCATCAGCCTCGTCACACTGTCCCTTGTGCGGCCTCTGCTTCCCAGCCTGCTCCCTGAGTGCGGAAAAAGGTGCAGCTGGGGCCGCATGCCTGGCACAGCGCTGGTGACCACAGGCTGGGACTGCTGCCCTTCCAGCCCCGAGTGGCACTCCATTACCACTTAACAAGGTCACAGCAGGGAGGTAACGGGCATTTGGTAGGGCCTCCTCCCAGTCAACCTGGGGCAGGGGCCCACAACCCCATTAATTGCCTGCTACTAGTGGGACGAGGCAGGCCTCTGGCTGACCCCTGCCAGCCCCAGGGAGGTGGGCGAAGCTGCCTGTGACTCTGGGGGATGAACCTTTCAACAAGAGCTGACAGTGCCATCAAGAGACAGCAGCAGGGCCGGGCGCTGAGTGCTAATGGGATGCCCACCCGGGGCTGAGGAGGCAGACAAGGTCCTGGCCAGACAGGATGAGGCCGAGGCTCCTGCCAGGCAGAAAGTGGCACCTCGCCCCCTCCAGGGCTTAGGGAGGCAGTGTGACAAGGCCTGTTCCCTGAGCAGGCCTAGCCCTTCCTGGGACGAGCTCTGGAGTTGGGGGTGGCAATGAGGGAGTCAGCGAGAGCTAGGGGACCTGGGGGTGGCGGCCTGCGTCATAGCTCCTGCTGACTTCCCCTCCCTCAGTGGCCACTGGCTGCTATAAATACCTCTCCTGTCTCTGGATGTTGCAGGACGTGACCTAGAATTCTGGGCTCCGGGGCCTCCTGGGTACACCCTCCCTGCCAGCATCAGACGGAGCCTGCCTAGCCAGAGCATCCTCGCAGCCTGGGAGCCCACCCCCACAGTGCGCAGGGCCCTGCCAGGAACGGGCAAACCCTGACACGGAAGGAGACAGCTGCAGTCCCAAACCCAAGTCTCCTACGACCAGCATTTCTACCACCTTCATGGCAAGCGCAGAGGACACCGGGCCCCCGGGGAGCAAAGGCCTGGCGGCCTGCAGGGGAGACGCAGCACCCAAGGCTGCCAGCTCAACTCGAGACCACCCCACCGCAGCGCCAGCCTCAAGCTCCAGCTCAAGCAAAGGCTCCAGAGTCATCCGGTCCCAGGCCCTCTCCCCAACTTCTCAGTCCCATGGTTCCTCCACAATCCAACCTGGTTTCCACACTTGTCATCATCCCGGAAGCCTCCTGGGGCATACTCTACTCTGACAGGGCATCTGGCTGTTGTGCATTCTTCCAGTGGGTAGCAAGCTTCTGAGCAAGCCCTCCCTCCTCCAGAGACCGCAGACAGGCCCAGGCCCCAAACCCCAGGCTTGGCTGACCCAGGAGCACAGGACAGGAGGTGACCCCGGGCCCGGCTGTTGTGAGGACGCCAGCCCTCACATGTGGCCAGGGTTTGATCCAGACCCCCTGGCTGAGGGCAGGGCCAGGATTTGAGGGGGAGAAAAGTCTGGAAACAGCTCCAGGGGTGGGTCCTGGGCAGTGTGAACACAGGTGAAATCTAGTTAAAATTAAATTCATGCGAGCAGCCCTTCTCCATCCATCTCACAAATAATCAGAGCGCCAACTATGCATCAGGGGCCACGGCAATAAATAAAAGCCGACATGGGGCCAGCTCTCACGGAGCCAACAGGAAGGAAGGAAAGAGAGACTTCAAGCTAATCTTCACATACAACAATGAAACACTCTATGACGCGTGCTCGGAAGAGGGGTCCCATCAGAGCCTGAGTAGGGAGGTGAGGGCAGCTGCCCTCAGAACTGGGAGCCAGACGGAGCTGAGATCTGAAGGACGAGCCGGAAGAAAGAGGGCACAGGAGAGGAGAGCAGGGAGCAGCATGGAGGACGCCCCTTGGCAGGAGGGCCTGTGTGTGAGGACCATGGAGGACGGAGCAAAGACCAGACCAGCCGGACAGGAGCAGAGAGGAGGGCCGAGGTGGAAAGGCTGGCGGGGCCTCGTGAACCAGGCCTGGACTCTGAGCTTTATCCCGAGAGCAACGGGAAACTACGGGCCAAGGCAGGCAAGAGCGTGGAGAGAAATGGGGCCCAGACTGAGATGCAGTGGACGATGGTGACAGGAGGACAGGCCAGTAAGGGAGAGGGCGCTGTCAAGGACGCCCCTGCCTAATGACCCGTGCAACTGGACAGGCAGGGGGGCCCTCGGCACCCTGGAGCACTTCCTGCTCAGTCTCTTCCTGCAGGCGGGGAAGGATGGACGGCGCCCTGGTTGCCCAATCCTGGAGGAAGCTAGGAGAACAGAGGCCTGGGGCAGCCTGCCCCACCCCAACAGTGACTACTCCCCCAGATGTGCAGCAGGCCTGGGCCTCGGTCCAGCAGGCACCCGCTCAGGGGTGGTCACTGGGCTCTGCTCCCACACCTGAGGGTCCCCACAACCAGCTGGAGGTTGGAGGCATTTCCTCCTGAACATTTAACTCCCTTTTCCTGCCACCTGGCTCTGCCCACGAATACGGCCACGCGGAGGGGGCCTTAACCCAGGCGGAGAGCTCAGAGCTGAAGCAAACCCCACACAGGAGGGGAAACGGAGGCTGGCAGAGAGGATGCTTCTGTCCCACCTACCACTTCCAGTCACTGCACAGAGCTCAGCACACTTAGAAAATCTGCCCCTTCTTCCCCTGGTCTGCAGGTCCTCCTCCCCTCCCACGCCGCCCTGCCCATGGCCCTCCTCTCTGTCCCCCAAACAGCCGAGCGTGGCCTGTCTCAAGGCCCAAGCCCTCGCACGCCCCCACACCTCTGGGTGGCTGGCTCCCTCGTCATTCACTTCCAAGCTCAAATGCGCCCCCCCCACCTTCCTGCCCAATCTCAGGTGCCCCCAGGCCTTCTCCATCCCATCACTGTTTTATGTTCCTCAGCACTTTCCACCATCTAACACTCTCTAGTTCATTCATTTGTTAATGTGTTTACTGTCTGGCCCTCCCCCCCAGGTGTGGCTCCCGGGGGCAGAGGCCCCTCCTGTCTTCTTCTCTACTGTGTCCCCAGCACCCAGCAAAGGGCCTGGCAGGTGGCAGGAGCCCATCCAAGTCCCTGCTGCCCGAGGAAGAGCCATGTCTGAGCACGGCCCGGCGTAGCCAGTGCAGAGCTGAGCCCAGAACCCAGGGCTCCTGACTCTCGGCCCCGGGCTCTTTCCACACCCTCTGTGGCCCCCGGGCTCTTTCCACACCCTCCGTGGCCCCGTGACCGGGGTCCAGGCTCAGTCCTGAACTGCCCTCCCACAGCAACAACCACACACAGGGCTTCCCTGGGCCCGAGGTCCATGCTGTGGGCGAGGCCGGGAAGAAATGCAGCGTCTTCGTTTCGCTGATGCGGAACCTGTGGCAGGAAGAGGGTGTTGGGTGGTTTGCCTGAGGTGACACAGTGAGCAGCAGAGCCAGGACCATGACCAGTTATCCAGGGAGGTCCTGCTGCCCGAGGCACTCCACAGCACAAGCCTGCTCCCCTCGCCTCCCAGCCCCGCCCTGGCCTCCTGCCCGTCTGTGGGAGGGTGAGTCTGTGGGAGGGTGACTCGTGGTGTCCACCGAAGGGAGGGAGCCTCTCCCCAGGGAGAGCACCAAGGGCCATGCTCTCGGGACGTAGCTGGGCTCTTTTGCCC